TTAAAGAAATTATGTTTGTTTGATCTCGAGCAAATCGCAAACTTTTCAAATCATACTTTTTGTACCTTATAGTAAAAAAGAACTGACAATTGAACACGGTTTTGATGAAATTGTTTCAAATAATACCAAAAGGTGTCTTGAGGCTATGTTTTGAAACTATGAAAGTTTTGAAAATATTTTGTATAGTCCAGAAAATACTGTATCGATTGAACTGACAACTTAAAACAGCAAGTAGGAATGAAGTAAAGAAGTAAATCAAATCAAAGGAACCCGATGTGAATTTTGGGATGCAACGTCAGTTGGCTTCTCTAAGCAAAAGAATAAACAAATTTGATACTCGCAGGACATTATGTGAAAGTTGACAAACTTAATTTACACTTTCTGAAATGTTTGGTCTTGTTAAAGTGCTAGTTTGAGTCAAAAGGAAAAACAACACAACAGCACTGTCGAGAAGGACGTAACCTTTACAGTTGACACAATAAAGCAAAAGCCATGATCGGGGACGGGGACTGGGGCAAAGTAACATTTTGATGGGCGAGATAGTTCCCATGATACGAATTTTCCTATTTTAGAACTAATTTTTGCGTGTTACTGAGAGGAACTACGGTAACTTACGTTTAAATAAAGTCATCCAGTAATCCAGCCATCCAATCCAACTGGAACCCCTCATAACATACAAGTAAGCATTTTTATAATAAAGTTTCCATTAGCGCGCGCTCTGATTGGCTGAAACAGCGTGCTTTATCAGAGAACAGATGACTGTAAGCTGGCTTCGAACTTTTGACAAATTTACCAAAATGAAACTTCCCCCGTGACTCAGACAAACGCAATGGAAACGAGCTATTTGTCTGCAGTAAATATGGCTGCACGGAGACCATTGTCAACAACAGCAGTGTTAAAACTGTACTACAATAACAAGTTTAGCTAGATTCCAACAAAACACGAGGCGAAATAAACAAATTCTCAAACTTGCGAATGCGCCGATAAAAGACATATTAATTTTGTAACAAAAGCAGAAATTATACTTAAGATCAGCTTGCCCTAACGGTCACCCATACCTATGCAGGATAGAAAAATTCGATTTTCTCAAACTTTGTCAGGCAGAAAGCTTATACTAACTTGTTTCAAAACTGTAACTTTTAGGTTGTTTGGATTTTTATTTTCTTGTCGAGACGGCCTTACGTATTTTCCCCGACAAGAGCAAAACACGACCCTAAAATTACACCTTTTACGAGCGCTAGCAAGCCAAAATGATAAGCGTAGCTGGAAAGCCAACCCATATTGCTAAAACATTTTCTTTTAGCAGTTATTTAGCATTCTCAAATCCGCATGTTATTTAAACCCGAATTTTTAACAAAATTTCAAAATTATACGCTTCGAAGATGTTGCGTCACGTCCTAATTTAGGTCATTTTCGTGGCCAGAAAGTCAATCTGGTACATGGATTTACCTGCTCAAACTATTTTTCTGGTTAAAAGTTTCCCTTAA